AATAAAAATATTTTTTTGCGGACGCTTGATCCCCTCAGATCTCTATGATCCCTTATGGCGTGGCGAATTTCAGTTTCTGGTGATAAGTGGAGTGCATTGCTCCCAACGCATGCTGCCATGCTCGTCCCATGATCACATTGTAGGGAAAGTCCGTATCAATCACAAAAAACTCGATGTTGATGGTGAAGGGACCTGTGACAACTGGCAATGTGATTTTGCCTATGGGCAGAGGGTGAACGAGCCATTGAATCCGATGAGGGGTGTCCTGACCTTGGTGAGGTCTTTGTGGCCAAGACCCATCCGTTTTAAAGTGTCAGAGTACATCACTTCCGAGAAACTTCCGGAGTCTATCAACACCCTCTTGATGTCGAACTTGCCTATCTTCAGGGTTATGACAAGGGCGTCGTTATGAGGAGTCATCACGCCTGTCAAGTCCGCGTCGGAGAACGTGATGCTAGACTCGCCAATCCTGGCCCTTTTACTGGGCGGCCCTCTATCATTCTCGACTATCTTTCTTATAAAAGCTACCCTCTTGAGATCGGACTCGAGTTCCTTGGACGTGGGGCGATCTAGCGGACATACATGGATCAAATCTATGACGTTGTTCAGCTCCTCGGTCCGGACAGGGATGTGTCTCTCTTCCGGCCTGGGCTCTATGTATTCTTTTAAGTATCTATCTCGGACCAATCTTTCCAAGAAAGATTTAAATACCCTGCAGCTTTCAGTGCGATGATCGAAATCCCAGTGATAGGAACACCTGACCTTTTGATCACGGGTGAAGGGATCGCTCTGCATCCTAGGCGGCCACTCGAAGAATGGCTCCCGCTTGATCTTATGGAGCAACTTGTAGATGAGTTCTTTGAACATAGTGTGAACTCCTTTGAATGACCCCCCCCAGAGGGGGTAACAGTCCCTTTCGGGAAGTATCCTCCCGCTCCCTCTCTTTTCTCTTAGGTTGGAGGGTTCTGCCTTTGCTACTTCTCATCTCGTCCTCGACCTTAGAGTACTTGTTTATCCGGGTCATTAGCTCGCCCATATCCGAGAGAGTCTTTTTGGTCAGGGATCGGTACATGTCCGTGTCCCTTGCCAAGCCGAGCCTGAAAGACGTCGCTGCCAAGACTTCCAAGAAGCCCTCTATCTCATTAACCTCTTCCCAATACCAGATGGCGTACTAGCGAAGGGTCTCGGATTCCCTCCGTCTGAGCATTAGCAATGATCCAACGTCTTTAGGCTGCTTACTCCCCGTAATGAATCGGGCCAAGAACAGCCTCATCAATTCTTTCCATGATCCAATGCTATTGGGGGAAAGCACCTCGAACCATTTCATCGCAGAGTCCCCTAAACTCATGGAAAACACTCGGAAGAGGAACCGTTGGTCTGAATGATACAGGGACATCATTTGCTTGTATTGCCTGAGGTGGGCTTCGGGATCGAACCGTCCATCATAAGGTTTGAACCTCGGCACGACGAACTTTTTTGGAATCTCTGTCTCTCCGATATCCCTGGTAAAGGGTGTTTGTTTGACCTCGTCTTCGACCTCATCCTGAACAGCCTTACTCTTTCTCCTGGATTCCAATCGAACTCTTAGATCAATTTTCTCCCCAACGGGATGTCTTCTGAAGTCTCCGAGTTCATCAGTAGGTCCCCCATTTCCTGGGCGTCGTGTGGATAGGGTTGAATCCTCCTCGGATTCATCTCCTTTCCTCTGCCTTGACAATCCTCGCCGGAGGTCGTCTAGAGCTAAAAGCCTTGTTTTCCTGGAATGGTCGTTAAGAGGGTGCTCGTTGGCTCTTGGTCGCATTGGGGCCCTGGAGCTTTCTGCTATGTTATTTAAATGATTCCTCAGATCCTTCGTTTCTGCCTCCCGGGCGGGGAGTCCACGAGAAAAGAATGAGTCCCTCGACTCTTCGTCGGAGGCGGCGAATTTGTTGAGCCGGCTTAAGACATTCACATTGTCTTTTTCCAACTGTCGTAATCGATCCCCAAAATTTTCTTCGATCACCTCTGCCAGTTGACGAGCCAAGGGGGCGGATCCTCCTGACTTGATGCCCATACTGGTTTGAGGAGTAAGCCCTCTTGACTAAATAGAGACATTTCTATTCTCATCAGTGTGATCCCTCCCTCCATTATGACATGAAGCTCGTAATTTAAGACTTCTTTGTTGGGGACCTTTCCCTTTTTGTCGAGTAGTCACCATGGTCANCATCAGTGTGATCCCTCCCTCCATTATGACATGAAGCTCGTAATTTAAGACTTCTTTGCTGGGGACCTTTCCCTTTTTGTCGAGTAGTCACCATGGTCACTGTTCTTTATAGAGAAGAAACTAGGAAAACTAGTCGTTTTCCACAGACGGCGCTAGATTGTGCGTGCAGGATCTTGCACAATATAAACACGAGAACAGATCTCTCCCGTGGTGAACTCGAGTCAGTCAATCAAATGGTCAACCTTGCTATTTGGAACAGGCTGAGATCCGTTGGTGGCCTGGAACAGTAATGGGTGACTTTCGTGGATCAAGGGAGTGGTCCAGTAAGGCTGAGGGAGGTTCCTGGAACAAAGAAAAACAAGTTAGAAGGGCGCCGAAGTGCTTTCCAGTGTATNCAGTAAGGCTGAGGGAGGTTCCTGGAACAAAGAAAAACAAGTTAGAAGGGCGCCGGAGTGCTTTCCAGCGTATCCCCTCCGACGATCAAATCAGTTTTTGAGAGAGGAGAAGAAGAAAACACTGAGTATAATTTTGAGAAAAGGTTTTTCGTTGCCTCCCGTCTTACCTTTTGTGAGGAGTATTTATACCTCAAAAACTCATGATTGCTGTCAGTGTGGTCAGTAGGTGATCATTAGATACGGGCAACGTGCGCACTGATTCCTATGAGGAATGTCTTCTCTTTTAACTGCTCGGGATCCCGAGCAATCAAGGCTGTGTCATCGGCCTGTCGACTGTTTAATGAGTTCCTCTCGGCAAGGATGTAATAAATGCTCAATCTTAGGGACATTTATTACCTTTCACTTCCGAGCCTTACCGCATTAAATATTATCTCATCAAGAGAATAATGTAATCAAATGCTTGTTTTCCCAAGTCGTGTGTTAACAAGGGCATCCGGTCTTTTTGTCTCTGGTGTGACACAATATGCCACACGTCTATTCCCCATTGGCTGTGTCTTCTGCCTTTGTTGTGCCTTCTGACACCAATTATGTAAGACGAGGTCATGATGGCTAACCTAGTCTAGCCCAGGCTAGTGACCTGTACATCAATAGCCTCTGTAGGAGCAGAGAACGCCGTCTTGGACGGTACATCTCGGTACCGAGGGGAATGGTACATATAGGGACCGATGTACCTGTATCTGACCGAGGATACGTGTCGGTACGTAACGTACTGGGTGTCATTGATTCTTATGAACAGTACCTCGGGGGAACAAGGACTTGCGATCCGACGGGTACGTGTCGTGATTATAGTAACAAGAATTCACTGATGCCGAGGACACGTGTCTTCATCTTGGAGTATTTGGAATTGTCCTATCAATAAACAAATAACTATTCATTCTTTTCTTTTTTCATCTAAGCCAATAATTACCTGAGTGAAATTTATTTTGTTTATTCAAAATTTTATTATTAGTCGGTAATACAATATGATCAATGTTGACATAGTATCATTTAATATTCTCTTTTCATCCTGTTAGTTTAAACCGGATCGAATCTTGAGGTCAGGTCCGAATTTAAAAAAATAGTCGAGACAATTTCTTCCTTTCCACGATGTTTATCTATCAATTCTCTCAGAATACTTAATGATCTCATGACTGCCACTTTACTGTTAAACCTTAACATAGTTAATCTAAATTTCGTTGCCTCATTTATAATAATGTCTAACCAAAAATAAATAAGAAATTTATTTACTCTATTTTATTTTATTTTTTATATTTTTTGATTTAAAGTGAGTGAGATTTGTGCCGTATCGTTTTTAATCAAGCTTGTGTTATATTTTTGTTTAACCAATTTGTTTTGATCCATCCATTTTCGTTTTAATTTAATTTTGTATAAGATTTGTTGATTAAAACCCACGATTGTATTGCGCAAGACCTACCATCTATGAAGCACGGATATTTCATTGAGGTTAGCGTAACTGTATCAGATACCATATCGAATACAATACTCGTCAGATATTCGAAGAGTATCCGATAATAATTAAATATTAGGATATTTCACGAATACTATTATAATCGAACAACGTATATAATTTTTTAATTGAACTTTTAACATCTCTTTTCAAACTTATATATTATACAATACATTAATAAAAAATTCATATTACTTTAAAGACACAAGAGTGTTTTTTTTAAGTATTATCTACAATTACATGTCAAAAGAGCATAAAATAAAATTATTACATTATAATCTTAGCAAAATTTACTTTTAAATATTAGGTAAATATTAGTTTTGATTCCTTTAATTAGTCACTTCACTTTGTGAATATATCACAGCGACATAATACATATTTTCTTAAAACTAAAAAAAATTACTGATTTTTCTAATTATATGTTAAAAAACTATCAAAATAATATTTTATTATAGTCGTATTTTAACCGTAACTGCATCATACTTTTTTAGATTTTATTGTATCATTCTATCCATATCGTATTATACCCATATCCCGTATCCGCATCCGTGCTTCATAGCCTACCATCCTATATCCCTGATTTTTCTTAATCATAAAAGCAAAAACTTCTTTCATCTCAATTCATGCTCGCGCGAACCTCGTAGTATCAAAAACAAAATCTAATATCAAGAGATTGAATGGTCTAGATATTGAATGTTCTTGATTAGGGAGGGGGTCTATCACCAAACTTATTCATCATCTGCAGGAAAATATTATACGACGGTAGGTCATCATCGACCCATAATATCATCATCTCAGAATAAGCCACGGCAAACCTCACATAATCCTATGATTACCAATTTCCACATAATCCCATATTGAATAGAAATCATATGATCTTTCTTTGGGGTAATTGGCTGATTAGAAATCCTCAGCTAGGTTGGTGTCAGGTTTACTTGGCTATACTGAAGGAGTTCAGTAGAGCCTATAACAATGTTCACTGTATCTCTTAAACTAACAGCATCTACTTACGATCTGGTGAATTAGAAAACGTTGTTAAACGAATTTTAAGTACAGTGGATCAGGAAAATGTACAATACCAGCCTTCAATCAGCTATATAGCAAACTACATAGATGGATCATGGAGGAAGCGATATATAAAAGAGAGTCTAGTCCACCAAAAACTAACCAACCATAAGACCATCTCTACTCTTTATCATAAGCTTTGTCATCATCGTCACTGTAAAACTCATCTTCATACATGAGATCTTCATTTTCTGCAGAGTCATCGGTTTCTAACTGAGGTTCAACAGATTCATCGCTGCCACTTGCACTCTCAAGTTCTTCTGATTTATCATCAGAAGAACTGCTCTTGACATCTTTCTCATCCTCAGATGGCTCTTCATCCGGATAATCATTTAGTGGATTGTTTTCAGCTGAGGACCCCAACAAATAAACACGTAAACCAATGTTCGATAAAAGAATAGTGACTAGCAATGGAAGGGTAAACCAAACACATGGATATACCATTAGAATCATCACTTTCATAGTCTGAGTCACTAGGTCCATTATAGAAACTATCGTCGTCATCAACTTGTACCCTAAACAGGATATATCACATAACTATACTGAGACAGAAAAGAAGGTACATACAAAAATCTCCAAATATACACACATGTAATCTTACAAAGGAAATGGGTTTGAAGCATCTTCCTCGGGTATGCTGATATCATCCTTCACAGCATACAAGTCATATACATAGCCATCCTCAAATGCTGTGTAACAACCAATAATCTATCAGAAGTACACAATAGCATGAGCAAATGGGGATAATCCATCTCAGAATCAAAGGTGAAAAATTATCTAAATGGCAGGGCATGTGATGACAATCCTCAAAAAGCACCATACAGGGCAGGAGGGGTGTTGTGATGCATTCAGAACATCATTTTTGTGACAAGCTAACAGAATGCACTCATTCTATCATCTCCAGAAACCCAATATTTATCGTAGGGCTGTCTATAAACTGTGACCAGTTTCATTTTTAACTTAATTGTAAATTAGAAGATATTACTGAAAATAAAAGTGTATACAAAAGATCGCGATTTTCATGAAACAAAATACTCTGGTAAACAAAAAAATAAAAGAAAGAAAACTCCTGTGACCAAAATAACAATAATATAACAAAAGACAGACCATGATTGTGTTTGGACATGTAATCATGGATATCAGATTCAATCTCAGCGGCAGCACTTGGAATGAACTCTCTTAACAGAGGCAAATAACTAGACATCATCATATGATCCTCCAAATCTGTATCTGTGACTCTAAAATGGAAGGAAATGAATCATTTTCAACAAGGAGTTGCAGAAGTAAAAGAATGCAAAAATAACTACATGACAACCAAACTTACTCCTTTTGCACCCCGTTGGTAGTTTCCTCAACATCGACACGAACAACATCATAAAAATTACACATTTCACGTATTGCTTCTTCATGCAGTACATCTATCTTTCCCTTTCTGCTCCTCCATATTTGTTCAAAACGGGCATTTTTTGACAAAATCTAATGCCAAAAAAAAAAAAAGGCGTGAATAAATCTTATTAATACTTAATCATCAAAAGAGTAATATTAAAATTTACTTAATTTATTTGTTGTTTCAGGGAAGTGGTGGGCTTAAATGCCCCGACAAAACCAACTAATCACCTAAATAACAACCAAATAATTTGTTTTATGCAAATTTTGGTCCCATAGAAGGATATGAAATTGAAGTCCGCATAGAAGTAAGATTTTTAATGTATCAAGTTTGAATATCGGCCAAATAAATCCACTTATCCTTGCTGGCCCAAGATATCGTCAACAGATGTGAATTTGGAGCAAGGTCAATTCATTGTCATAATATATGCATTGTGATTGTGTTCATGTGTGGTAATTGGTAATTTGGTCCATGAACCACAGCAAATTAAAAATTTAGCTGACTCTCATACTGGCAAAGAGGGTTCTAGATAACATCAAAAAGCCAACGTTTGACAAAAACCAGTTAAAAGTGACATGCTAGACAATTATTATTAGTGCAAACAAAGAATTGAAGAAATTGAATATTGCAAATGGACAGTTCAAAACTGCACAAGCATCAGAAAGAGGAACTAATATATCCCATGGATAGAAAAATGTATAACAGAAATCATCTCACTACAAAAAAAATTGCAAAATTACCCATTCAAAAGGAAGACACATGATGTACATAAAGGAGCCAATCCAAATTTCAGCAAGCAAACAGAGTGCATCATTATTCTACGCTTAACATACCTCTTGCTTTTGTTTAGCTTTAACCAGCAATTGATCTTGTTTCTGCATCCATCCCATAGGAAATGCTAAAAAGTTAGTCAAACAAAACCAATATTGAGGCAGTGAACTAATCAAATAGTCTATCCCAAGTGAAGCAGCATCTTAAATAACATTCATACCATAACATAGGACGGTGAGAAAAAAGAAGGCACACATATGTCAAACAGCAGGAGACATTGAACAAGAGGCCTCAAATTTGAATACATTTTGGTTGTCAAAAAAAAAAAACAGAAAGGAAGAGTTTAACCTAATCTCAGCTGCATTACAAATAAAAAAAAAAAAATTAGATCAAAAAATACAATCCCATCTTCTAAACAGAGTGCTAGGAGTTTATATTATCAAACTCAATTCAGTGTCACCTAGAATACCAAGTCTCACGATGCAGACCAGTAATAAGAAATTGGCATGCTAGATACCCTAAAAGTGGTACAAGAGAAGAAAGCTTTTCGCTAGTGCACAACCAGAGTGTTTTTAAGTGCCCGCCAATGTAACAGAGTCTGATCAGGCTTGCCAGAACAAAAAAAACCAGATTTACAGTTCAAAGCATAGACCAAGATTAAAGCATTGATCTAACTGACTAACTCCCACTTCAACAATCAAAATTGTCAATTGCTACCAAATTCAAATAAAACTCAATAAATGAACATAGTAAATTTATTGTAAGGGGCAATTAATAACGCCATCCCACAACTTTTTATCCTCTATTATTGGTGAGCAAGCTAGATTGTTACTAGTTGGTGGCACAAAAGAGATACTGTTCAAGGCCTCATATTACTACCAGACCACTTTCCCACAGGCTAGTCAGTAGCTTCACAACATATCCCCATTATACCATGAATACCTCTCAAATGTAACAGAAGAATGCCAATTGACTTGTAGAAACTTCAATAACCTTCTCAACGCACTTAGATCCAATAAAGCAAACATGTTAATAATACAATAAGATCCGTCAACAAAAACTGAATTTAAACAAAATCTAATTCCCACGAGACTTCATTCTTCATCTTATTAGAGAATTTCATGGAAAAAGATATATGGACCCATGATTGACAAAGTTTGGGCTAACTTTACTCCATTTTGTGGCGCAATAGACAATCAAGTGAGAGATCATATAATTGCAAAATATGTATTGAATATGGTGGATACTACACTTTGTCTTAATTAGGGCAACTAAATAAGTAACTATAGGTTGAGAGAAAGATAGACAGATAGATACAGGGGGAACTTACCTTCTTTGTGTTAAAGCTACGTCTAGGATCCTCACTTTTCGTTTTAGATTTAGATGCATCCACATGATTAGGCTGTTTACGAAATGGTAGCTAATTAGAACACTAACAAGTATGGCCTTACGAGTATGAAACAATAAGAGAACAATCACAAAGCAAGCACACATCAGTAGTACCCTAACTAGACAACAAAATCAATAAAAATTACACAATAAATGAACCATCGTACTGACCACAAATGATTGCAGTATATTGGCAGTGACCTTGGAGCTCCTTACTGTATCCACATGATGTACAAAAACTTTTTTCGCCTTTAATTCTGCCACTGGGAAGTGTTAAAATAAATTATAAGGTCACCATGAATCGTAGAATGACGATATTCAAGCCGGAAGATACCAACAAAGCTCATTAATCTTCTACTAGCCATAGTCCACACCAGTGATCCATAAATGGTCGAGAACAGAACAATTATTGGCTTCACAATCATCTTGCCGCAATCAGACTCTAGCAAATTCTAGGACATAGTGTAGTAACAAAGAAACCCTAGTTATTGTGTACTCATGAACATATTTATACAAAATGCTTACTTGTTGAGTGGTTTCAAATGTGTAAATCGAGGAATGCCATCTAGAACTGAAACATTAAATGTGTGTAATGTATGTACATCGATAGAAAGAGAGAGCAGAGCAAAACATGCCTTTTGCAGATGAATCGGAGAGAGATAGCTTATCGAAGTCCAGCAATGGCCGCTTGAGCGGTCTCTCATTGATTTCAAGCCCTGAGAAGAACAAGAGTAAAAATAATCGAAACCCTTAAGATTTAAAAAATCAGAAAATCCAAGCATTAGGTTTAGAACTCACAGAAAGCTTCGAGTGGAGATTGAAAAGCTTTCCTTTTAACCCTAACAATAACAGGCTTGTCATTCTTTAACGGAGTGGAAGAGCTTTCGGCGATATCGGCCATTAAAAGCGTAGAAGAGCGCTCACTTCACTTGGAATTCCTAGCCAATTCCACAAATATTGGGGAGAAATCGACTAAAGCTGCCTCAATTGTTCATACATTACACAGGTAACCAAGTACAATAAAAATTAGGGTTAGGGTTGGGGTTTGGGATTTGTGAGCTTAATCGAAATTCTGGGTCGTGGATAGACGGTGGAGTTTGATTGTTCGTCCGTTCACCTTTAGCACCGATCAAGCCCGAGTCGGTCTGAATATTCTGTATTTACAGAAAGGGAAAACTTCATCGACTCCCACCCCCCCGGTAAATACTCTCTTTAAAAACACACCTGCATTACCTAAAATTTTACAGTTAATATGCTTATTTTAGGGTTAATTACGGCTGTGGTCCCTAAAATATTTTTTTTGTCTCATTTTAGTCCCTAACCTTCTAATTACATCAAGTTAGTCCCTCATGTAATACGCATTTACGTAGTCCCGCCGTTAACGCCGTCCACAAAGTTGACAGTTTGTAGTCCTGTGTCATCCGCATGACACAAATGAGGGACTTATATGACATTTACCCTCAAATAGCCATGCAACTGCTTTCCTTCTACGGTAGCACCAACATTACTATAAGCATTGTGCACCCCAACAAGAGTGAATTCACTAGGCCTCATCCAAGAAAAATGCATATCCGAGAACATTTTCAATGCCTTCTCACCATCGCCACTTTGTGTATACCCAGTGATCATCGCAGACCACGTAATAGAGTTCTTCTCACTGGAAAGCTCAAACATTTGCAGCGCGTTATCTAAGCTTTTACACTTTGCCTACAAGGTAACAACAACATTTCCAACTGATACAATTGATAACAACCCATTTTTCACAGCAAGACAATGAATTTGCTTACCAATATCAATAAATTTTGGCTAGGTAAAAGCACTAAGAACACTAGTTACCACTAACTCATTCACATCTTCCTTTTTCCTCACACGTCATTATCCATAAAACCTCCAAAGCATAACTAGCAAACCGATGCATAGCATACCCACCCAAGAAACCGAATTTCTCTCGGCCATTCTATCAAACACTTTCCGCGCATCACAAACAAGGCCACATTTGCAATACATGTTTAACAAAGAACTATTCGCAAATACATCGGAACAACAAGCTGTTTTGATGGCAAGTGAATGAGCTTGCTGGCCACAAAACGTGTCCATCAAAATCGACGCCGTAGAAAAATATCCGGCGAAAGTGTGGGCATCGGGGAAAGTGTTCTCTTTCCTCATAAGCTTGAACAGTTTCATGACCGAGGATGAAGATTTGGGAGTCCCCAGCTGAGAGTAGCCATTGATGAGGCCGTTCCATGAGACTATGTCTTTAACTTCGATTTCTTTGAATACAAGGTGGGCTTCGGTTAAGAGGTGGGACTTGGCGTAGAAGTTGACGAGGTTATTGGAGATGTATATGCAAGATGAAGAGCCAGTCTTGATGATTTGGGCGTGGAGTGATTTGCCGTTTGCGAGGTTTTTTTGGTGGGTGTATTGGAGGAGTTTGGCAAAGAAGGAACAAGTGGCTAGTGTCATCAACTCTACGAATCCTTAGTTTCAAAGTTCATGAACGGGTCATAGCAAAGAGATTCCCAAAGTTCAAACCTTGCAAGTAGAGAGAAGGAAACACAGGAATTTAGGGGAATGTTTTCCTAAGGAAAGAGATGGAGGGTAAATGTCATATAAGCCCCTCACCTAGATCATGCAGATGGCACATGACTATACACCATCAGATTTCTGGACGACGTCAACGACAGGGGATTAGGTAAGTGCATATGTACTTGATGCAATTAGAAGGTTAGAGAAGGTTAGAGGTTAAAATGACATAAAAGGAATACTTTAGAAACTATAGCCGTAATTAACCCCTTATTTTATTCACCCTTGTTGACACCTATATCATAGTTTTAAAACTCGGCCTGGACATCAACCCGATGAAGGGACCGGGTCAATAGGTCACTGGTTCAACAGTTGGATCACTGGTCTGACCGGTAATATAATAAAAATAATAATAAATAATTATAAATAAGCTAAAAAATTACAATAATTATAAAAATAACATCAAACATGTAAAGTTAAGTAGAAAAAAATCATCAAACATGTATTCAATTTTTAATACAATTTGTAAAGTTAAGTAGAGAAAAATACCTCTATTGAAATTCAAGACTTCAAGTCTAAGTTCGACTCTTCCGCAATGTATCAATCTAAGCATAATTCATGTAATTTGCATTCTTCAAAGTTCAACAAGACACATGAAAACAAAATAAAGCACATGAGCATAACATAAAGACTCAAATAAACGAAACTAAAAATAAATTATCCAACCACTGCCTAGTTCTACTTGAAAATACAAATATTACCACTACTATCAATTAACTAATCTACAACCCAATTATATAATGAACAATAAGAATCCCAAACAAGCCACAAGTTCAATATCACAATTCATAATACTCTTACCGCAATAAACAATCCACAAGTTCACAATCTTAAACAAAAATAAAACACACTAATGAAAAGTACAATACCACAATCCATAAGTTACAAATACAAAATCTCAAATATTAAATAACAATGTTCATAAAAGTAAAAATCCATCATAAAAGTAATGCAATAGACATATCTATTCATTCTCATTTTTCCAACGAGCGTTCCTACTTCATAAACTCCAATCCCTGCCAAACTCAGGAGGATTCTCAACTCCGGGACAATTAAAATTTTCAGCATTACTTGTAGTTGCATTGCCAACACCTCCCACATTACATTCCTCATTTCGAGTGTCCACAAGATCCGGAGGATTCTCAAAATGACAAATCCTTTCTGTAGGCCAAGGTATACAATTTCAAGGGATTGCATGTAAATTTTTTTTTATAAACAAAAGGTCGTTGGCTGATCATTGCTGGAGTGGAGGCTGATCGTTGTTGGAGTGGTGGAGTGGAGGTTGATCGCTGTTGGAGTGGAGGAGTGGAGGCTTATCGTTGCTAAAGTGGTGGAGTGGAGGTTGTGGTCTCTGATCTGGATCGCTGGTGTGGATCGATTTAGGGCAACACAAAAGGGAAAATGTCCAAACGTTGAAAAAAATCTTACTTTTATAGAAATGTAATTAAACCGGCCAATTTTTTGAATTCGTCCGATTCTCACGAGTTTATCGGGTTTTGGTCGATTCACTGGGTTTATCTCAGGTTTCTTACATAAACGGTCTTTTAATAGTTATCACCTGCCTACCACCTTATGCCTACACACAAATTCTAAAACTCCCTGACTCTACCCAAATTACTATCATCACTGTAAAATCAATTCAATTACAAAAAACTAAGTGACATAGTAATCAAAATTTTTTAAAATATTTTTTTTTTGGAGGAGGAGAGGAGAAAGAGACTTAAACTCTTGACCTCACGAAGATAAAATTTTCACAAGACCAAGAGTACCATTGAGTCAAAGACCTATTGATAAGTAACATTATAATCAATTATTTACATAAACATCACACAAATATACACATAGAGTAAGATAGGGAATTGTTCATTAGCCTCCAAATTCTTTGCATCCTTAGCAACTAATTTGTCTGCATATTTCACCATCAAAATCTCATTTTATTTCTTATCTGGCTCTTCTCTCTCTATGCCAACGAGCAGGTAAGCTGTGTAGAGCATTATGATGGTGGTGATCAACAAGAAGGGATAATAAAAGTGGGTGATGGTTTTGGTGATAGTTGATGGGNATAAATAAGCTAAAAAATTACAATAATTATAAAAATAACATCAAACATGTAAAGTTAAGTAGAAAAAAATCATCAAACATGTATTCAATTTTTAATACAACTTGTAAAGTTAAGTAGAGAAAAATACCTCTATTGAAATTCAAAGCTTCAAGTCTAAGTTCGACTCTTCCGCAATATATCAATCTAAGCATAATTCATGTAATTTGCATTCTTCAAAGTTCAACAAGACACATGAAAACAAAATAAAGCACATGAGCATAACATAAAGACTCAAATAAACGAAACTAAAAATAAATTATCCAACCACTGCCTAGTTCTACTTGAAAATACAAATATTACCACTACTATCAATTAACTAATCTACAACCCAATTATATATAATGAACAATAAGAATCTCAAACAAGCCACAAGTTCAATATCACAATTCATAATACTCTTACCGCAATAAACAATCCACAAGTTCACAATCTTAAACAAAAATAAAACACACAAATGAAAAGTACAATACCACAATCCATAAGTTACAAATACAAAATCCCAAATATTAAATAACAATGTTCATAAAAGTAAAAACCCATCATAAAAGTAATGCAATAGACATATCTATTCATTCTCATTTTTCCAACGAGCGCTCCTATTTCATAAACTCCAATCCCTGCCAAACTCAAGAGAATTCTCAACTCCGGGACAATTAAAATTTTCAGCATTACTTGTAATTGCATTGCCAACACCTCCCACATTACATTTCTCATTTCGAGTGTCCACAAGATCCGGAGGATTCTCAAAATGACAAATCCTTTCTGTAGGCCAAGGTATACAATTTCAAGGGATTGCATGTAAATTTTTTTTTATAAACAAAAGGTCGTTGGCTGATCATTGCTGGAGTGGAGGCTGATCGTTGTTGGAGTGGTGGAGTGGAGGTTGATCGCTGTTGGAGTGCTGGAGTGGAGGCTTATCGTTGCTAAAGTGGTGGAGTGGAGGTTGTGGTCTCTGATCTGGATCGCTGGTGTGGATCGATTTAGGGCAACACAAAAGGGAAAATGTCCAAACGTTGAAAAAAATCTTACTTTTATAGAAATGTAATTAAACCGGCCAATTTTTTGAATTCGTCCGATTCTCACGAGTTTATCGGGTTTTGGTCGATTCACTGGGTTTATCTCAGGTTTCTTACATAAACGGTCTTTTAATAGTTATCACTTGCCTACCACCTTATGCCTACACACAAATTCTAAAACTCCCGGACTCTACCCAAATTACTATCATCACTGTAAAATCAATTCAATTACAAAAAACTAAGTAACATAGTAATCAAAATTTTTTAAAATATTTTTTTTTTGGAGGAGGAGAGAAGAAAGAGACTTGAACTCTTGACCTCACGAAGATAAAATTTTCACAAGACCAAGAGTACCATTGGGTCAAAGACCTATTGATAAGTAACATTATAATCAATTATTTACATAAACATCACACAAATATACACATAGAGTAAGATAGGGAATTGTTCATTAGCCTCCAAATTCTTTGCATCCTTAGCAACTAATTTGTCTGCATATTTCACCATCAAAATCTCATTTTATTTCTTATCTGGCTCTTCTCTCTCTAGGCCAACGAGCAGGTAAGCTGTGTAGAGCATTATGATGGTGGTGATCAACAAGAAGGGGTAATAAAAGTGGGTGATGGTTTTGGTGATAGTTGATGGGGGTGAGTCTTATGTATTGCTGATAGACTATATAGAAGAATTGGGCTACACTTGGTGGTAGGAATGATTGACTGTACAAAAAGGATGAGACTGTACATATATTATACATTAATATATTTTGCACTAACATCCTGTGATAGTTTTTGTTATTTTTTTTAAAAAAAAGATAGACAAAAAGTAATACTAAATTATTTAATAAAAAATAAATTTATACAAAATTTTAAAAAAATAATGGGTAGTTAGTAAAGAGTTGAGAGGCGATCATAAAAAATACATGATAGAGTGTGATTGAAAAAAACATTATTATGGTAATTAAAAAAATCAAAACTCTAGAATATATATATATATATATATATATATATATATTAAATGGATAATATGTGAGATATACATATATGAGTGTATTATACAATAAGTGGATAATATGTGAAATTGTCAGAGTTAATATAATAAAATAATAAGTTCTCATACCTTTGTCAACTAACAAGCACTTATATGGGTGTCAGTAAAATTTCAGGGAATGTAACGAATGTGCTTGAAAATAAAGTATTTTATAAGAAGTGTGGGTGAAATTTTTTATATATTTGTTATTTTTTCCTGATAAATCACTTATCGTCAACTCTAATTCAGGTCTAAATCAAAAAAAAAAATAAAAATCTATTAGAGTTCATGCATATAAAATAAAATTAAAAATCGATGATCGAGATTGATGGAGGCAAGGACCATAGCCTTACCCTATAACCTTAACAAGTTTATAATATTACTCCTTTTTTTTTTTTTTTTTCATTTTGGGATGAACAATGACAGTGATACCACCGGATTTGGTCGTCTAGTGACTTTGCAATGCCCCATTTAAGGTCCTTTCTAATTTCTATGAGGTTAACAAACAGAATTCGATCCTCATGAATTTTGGTTGTTTTCATTGACAGCTCTATGGTGTGTGAGTTCGGCTATGGGCAGGCCAGCCAAATCACTAAGGCAAATAAAGTCTAGGCTTTAGATATAAAATTTTTTAGGTGTATGGTTGGGACTGTTTGATAATATCACTTAACACTTAAAACTGAATATTTTAAGCACTTAATAAATTATCCGTTTGAAGACTTAAAACTCATACTATT